GACGCGCTAGGTAAAGCAGGGGGTTTCCCTTGAAATACCTGTGCGTTTGGAAGGTTGAGGTTTTCTCACTTGGTTGGATCTGGCTCCCATTTCCCACTTGTTGATAGGGATAGCCATATGGGGTTTCCCTTGATATGTTTTTACCTTAGTAGATGCATAGTTGTAAGCCTATGCCATCACTTCAGAGTAAGTCTTCCAAGTGTTAACATTGATTATGTACTTGAAGAAACACTTATATAAGCCTGATGTGAAGGCCTTGAAGGTAGTCTTGTCATCTGCCTCAATGCAACAAGAATATTCATGGCTGAAGTAACTGGCGACTCATCTGGCTTTTGGCGAATAGTGTACAAGTCATCTGAAGAGTGCAAGCGATCAGTCTGGAAAATGTGTTGAGAAACAAACAATTTTCTCAGCTCTTTAAATAAATCTACCATCTCAGGTAGAAAATGGCAATACCAGTTCAGAACTCTATTAGAGAGGGTGGAGGGGAAGAGAATACATCATTGTTCATTAATATGCATTTGGTATGCCATGGTGGACTCAAAGAGGTTAAGGTGTTCAATCGGATCCTCCCTTCCAATATATAGTTGTAAGCCAAGCTTTTGATTTGTCTTTGCTTGGAGGGGTGTGTCAATGATCCTCCTTGTAAGGAGGCTGGGCCTTGGTTGATTCTAGTCAGAAATCTTAGCCTGGCGTTCGGCCTTCAACTTGTTTACTTCTTCAATGAGCTGTAGACCAAAGGGGTCCTAAGTCGAGTCATGTTCTACTGGAGCCTTCTTGTGTAAGGTTGCATCACCTCTTGGCAGTAGGGAAGTTTGATCAAGGGCATGTGGTTTTTCCTTGGACTCACCGTAATGGCTTCTAGGGCGTGTCTGTCGGAAGACATCCGAGTCCCTTATACCCTCATATTCCTTTAGGACTTGTCACTTCGTCCTTGGATTGGTAGTTGGCCTGGGCTATGGTAGAAAACCAAGTCTTTCAGAAACCCTTGGGTCATTAATCTTTGAGCTTATGTGGATGGGGTTCTCTCGACATTGCCTTAGGAAGTCTTGACAGTCACGATAAACAACTTTCGATCCTTCCACTCCTTCAGCAAGAAGGTGTCTCCCTCCATTTCTGCTTTAGGTAGAAGCAGTTGGGTTGAGAAAATTCTCTTGTTGATCAACACATTAATGAGTAGCTCGTTCCTCATTAGGAATATCCATATTGAAGACCGGTGACCCTTCGTGTTGAGGGGTACCCAGGTGATGGTTGACGTTCATAGGGGTAATGGACTTGTATGACTGAGTATGTCTAGCCTCATAGAGCATTTCGAAAAGCTTCTCATATTGCTTATGGAGGATTTCATTCTTCTTTGCTATCTTGTTGTTCTAAGCCTCCAGCTTTTTGACTTTCGCTTGAAGAGCAAACTTTTTTCGTTCCTTTCTTCGCTACCTCACATTAGGTACGAGATGAGTATCGTTATATGTGTTGTAGCTTCTTTCGCTCCCCATGTTGGAGAGGGATGCCTGGTCAAATAAGAGTGTATGAATGATGAAAACTAGCTTGACAAAGTTGAAGAGAGTAGGAATAAGTGTCTTTTCCCATAGTGACGCCAAATGTTGATGCACAAAATCAGTGAAGACTTTGGAACAACGTAAAGTGTCAAGTTTGTGACCTTCGCTGGGTTGCTGCGGTCACTAGTGAGGATAAATATGTAAAGAGATAGAGATAGAGAAATAAGTACAAGATGTACATTGTTCACCGGCTATAAAGGAGTTCTCATTAATAATGAAGGGTTTACACAAATACATAGGTCTAAGCATCATCATTAGTGAGTTCTAATGACTAGTTTAAGTACAGTAATGACATTAGGGATTAATTGTAGGAGAATGGTATCCTTATATGGTTGAGGAAAGTCTTTAGCTTTTGTCTGCGGTCGATGTGGGACTCATTAAGCTTTATTCTGATGTTGACATATGTCACGCTGTGATTGGCTTCTTAGTTAGAGGGAAACTTTTTGTGCTTCAGCAAGGGTGCCTCAGCATGAACCTCTTAGTGGGTCCTTGAATGTATGATGTTAACCGATGCCCGGTAGTTTCAGGATTAGTCAAGTATGGTACAAACACATCTAATTCGGATATCGTCTGGAACAAATACACCGACCATTCAATTGGAATGCGGTTTGGTACAAATACATGCTTAGTTATCTTAAGCTTTACATAAATGGACAGATACAGGCACGCACACAAAATAGAAAAAAGCCCAGTTCCATTCTAAGCTCAAACAAACAAAATTGAATGATATATTTAAAACCCAAGCATGAAAGCTTCACAAAGTGCCAATAGTAGCTCAGTTTAGGTCAGGGCATGAAGCTACAGGTTCTATTTGCGACCGTGAAACAGAGGTCAGAGGCAACTTGTTATATAGGTAGCCGTGCGTGTTAATAGATCTTCTTCTATACTAGTAGTAGCAGTAGTAGGTGAATTGCTTTCTTAGGTAAGGTTTAGTTTCTTTATTAAAAGGAAAGAAAGATGGAATAGAAAGACGTGTTTCCAGAACAAACAAGATACAGGTTGAGAATGGAGAGTTAGCAAAGTTAGACAAGATTGGAAGACGAAAAGCAAGACCAGACGATGGAGACCATATCCCTGTAGAAGGCGTGAAACTCGTCTTTGGGAACTTTCTTGCCACTTAAGAGTTTTTCTCTTTCCTGGCGTAGAAACCCCTGGACGTTGTGCAACAACTCCTCTGATTGGCTAGACATCTCCTTGTTCGAGTTATGCACACCACAAGTAGACACAACTGGATCTCTTATTTGCCTTCCAACGAGGACTCTCTCATCCGTCTAGCTTACGGAAGACTATGCCACCAACCAATGTGGCTGTACCTAGAAAAAGTAGTTGAACCAACGAGACTTGGTCGAGGTTGCCAAGCGTGACTAAAGGGAAATCCTCGTTTGAAAAAGAAATGGAGCTCGAACAACACTTGATGAAAAATCTACTCATCCTCGAGAATGGGAGCAAACCCATTCAAATCGTCAAGGGTCTGATGGGGACTAATAGCCTTTATGGTCTTCTTTCAGCTTCCCAAGGGCAGTCAAGGCCCTATTTTCTTCAATTTCCTGAAAAAGGTTTAGGTCATATTTTCAGGGAACGAGCTTCGCGGCGCGGGGTTTAGTTAAGTGTCGTGATTTGCAGTTATCTCCTAGTTTTTCATCTTCATCTAGCCATAGACTAGCGCATTTGTCTGATATTCTTTAATTACTCTTACCGTTTTTGTGTATCGGGTGTGAAATTTATTTGGCTTCCCTCCCCTCCATAACCTCCATTCCCTCCATACTCTCTCAAGAAGGGGAGGAGTATCGGTTTCAGAGGGGCAAGTTGTGGATGAGTCAGCTCGTCGCCGTCATCTGCGTCTCGTTGGCCGCCAAAGTAAAGGAGACCCATGTGCCCCTTCTCTTAAATTTGCAAGTACGTGTAAATTTCCAATTGTAATTTGAGTGTTTGTGAAATTGCTGGACTGTTGTGTTTATTGGATTTCTCATGATTGTGATTAGGTGGAGGAAACAAAGTATGTTTTCGGAATGGAGCTTTTGGTGCTATTGACTCTTAAGTGGCGGATGAATCCAGTGACCCCAAATTCATACTTTGATAATGGAAAAAATCACTTTGGACTAAATTTGGAAGTACACCACAAGGGTTTAAATCCGAGTTTTTTTAGCACAAGGACTATCTTCCGAATACCTTATGACCACGGTGATCATTTATCCGATTTGGCCAAAAAAAAAAATACAGCAAAGGAGTTGAATAAAAAAGGTAATCAATTGAGAGTCAGAGTCCAATTTTCTCTATCACGCCACACACCCCCATGCTGCTTCTCCGATATCTCTCTTCTTCACTGCTTTTTTTCTCACAATATTAAACCCTAATTCATAATTTCATGCAATTGAAGAGAAATTTTCAAATCACGGAGGCAATTCAAGTGATCAGAGTGGTGCATACTTCGATTAAAGTAAGCTATTTACTAATTTAAATATATTGCGTTGGAATTTGAAGATTTAGGTATTTCTCATCTATAATAATTGTTTTTTCTTTTGTACTTTTCAAGGCAAAATTCATAGAAATAAATCAAAGTTAAAAGTTATTATAATCATACTTGCAATCAACCATGTTGCAGGAAATGTTAAATGGACTTACTTTGATATTGGTTGAAAGTGGGTTTTTAGATAAGATTGACTATGAAGGTTTAAATGATGATTTTTCAGCAAAGAATGCCCGAATAATCATTTTAAGTGAAACTTCAATGCTAGACTTTCTTAAGTTTTGTTCATTTGGTTTATTAAGATTGAACTGATTGTTGATTATTTAGAAATATGGCTATTTTTGTAGCTTTTTCTTACATTTAATGATATTTAGAAAATGATAATTGGTGAGTTTTAAAGTTTGTTTCGGTATAGCTTTTTAGCATCAATACTTGTTCAATTTTTTATTTTAAGTTTGTCTTATAAGAGGGTCCATTTTATAAATTTCGCACAGGACTTTCGAAATCTCAGAAACGGCCTTGATAACAGGTTGGATCATATTATTGATTAGTATTAACGGGTCAAATCAGATGATATCATATTACCTGTTCATTTTAACGAATATTATATGATACAATTCATTAAAATATCAAGTATGCCACGAAAACAATATAAACACAAAAACACGACACGCCACGCGACCCTTGACCTTATCATTAGACATAGTCTAGCACTTTTCAACCTCTACCCTTTCTCACCATTACAACAACAAAAAATTAGGAAGACTAAATTTCATAAATTGTGCTAGTTTTGAATTTGAATCCGAAAGACAAATAGATGAGAAGAATGACAATTTTTCAAGTGTAGAAGAGGAAATTCCATCGCAATTGACCACTTGCAAGTGCCTCTTCTTCAGAATTCGCGTCATCATCAGAGTTTGTCCAAGTCCAATCACAACCGTCCATTAGAACTTAAGTCCTCCAACGAGGGCCGCAATCCAGTGGAAACACCGTTTCAATCAAAATTTAAAAACACGCCCATCTCGTTGCTTTGACAGTCGTAAGTCCTCACAAAACTAGGGTTAGGGTTTGAGATTTGGGAACAAGAACATGGGCAAGAGAGAGAGGCAAAGGGCCAAGCTCGATTGGGACGAACTGAGCGAAGAAGAACGAGAACTAACTAATAAATACCCTTCGAAATCCGCCGCCGAGCACAGCAGCAGCGACGACGATGAGGCCAACGAAGATCTCAGCCTCAAAATCGTCGAGAAAGCTTTGTTAATGCGGGCGGCAAAGTTGGCTCCCGATAACAACGCTGCCGTGTCTGGCGAGCCGAGTGGCGGTTTGGTTGAACTCCCTTCTTCGTCTCCTTCGCCAGAAGAGGAAGTTGCGGGTGCAGTTTTGGAGACTAAGAAGGTAAGGAGGAAGGAGAGGATGAAGAAGATTAAGAAGATGAACATTGAAGATCAAGCTGTGAGTAATTTTCGATTTTACTCTGTTTGTTTCTATAGAAAGTTGATTTAATGAGTAATTCCGTTATTTCTTTGATCGTTTTTGGTATACAATTTTTTTAATTGTGATTAGAGAAGTATAAATGGTGAGAAGCATTTTTTTTTTCACTCAAAAAAGTAATGTTAGAGCAGTTTTTATTTGATTTCAAATAATGGATTGAATTGGAGAATTAGATTATAAACTCGAGAAGGCACTTAGACTATTAATTTTATTGTCTGTTTGGTCTCATTTTCTGGCGTATACAATATTCTTTGATTGAGAAGAGGATGATAGAGCTGTTTATGTATGACTGACATACATCCGGTTATTTGTTTAGGTTCTTCCAAAAGAGGGAGAGAAGGTAGAGGCGGCTAATGCTGTAGATTTGGCTGAGGCAAAACAACTGGAAAATGTTGATTTTACCGACAATGTTGTGCTGCGGAGACTTCTTGTGAGTTCAAATATTTGCTTTGAAATGCCCTTTTGAAAATGAAAAACTATATGAAGGCCTTAGCATAGTGCCTATCTGATTTCTATTATATCAGCGGGGACCAAGGTATTTTGATCCTCCAGATAGTAGCTGGGGAGCATGCTTTAATTGTGGTGAAGAAGGTCATGCGGCAGTGAATTGTACCGTAGCTAAGCGAAAGAAGCCGTGCTTTGTTTGTGGCAGTTTGGAGCACAATGCCAAACACTGCAGAAAGGTTAGTTGGAAGAGAACACAATTCTAAGTTGGCTCTTTTTACTTTTTGAAAATGATTGTCAAATAGTCTGGAGTAATTAGTTGAATTGGCCCTATTCTCGAAGTCTAACACCATGTTTGGATGAGGAAAATAAACCTGGAATTTGGATAAAAGTCAGAATTTATAAATTGAGAGGCACCAATTCCCTTGTTTGGATTCTGAGCATAGAAATTTAGAATTTCCGCTTGGAAAAAAAAAAAACTTGGAATTTGGGACATCCAATTCCCACGTTTAAATTCCATCTAAATAGGGGTCATTTACAATTTCTATGGTTGAGAGTTTGAAAATAATAAATTCCGTATTCAATTCCATTGTTCTTTTAAGTTAACCAAACAAGAAAATTCACAAATTCTAGAAAATAAAATCCCATCATTTCAATTTTGGTCATTTTAAAATTCTTTATTAATTTTAAATTTCTTTATCCAAACATAGTGTAAGTTACTACACGTTTATTAGTCCGGAGGGTGGTGGAGCGTAGTCCACATGTTTTATCTTGACATGAAAGATTTAAATTGATTCCTTCTTTTACTTTTTTTATAGTAATTGTGGAAGGATGGAGAACTTTCTTTTGGTAGTGCAATTAATAATCGATATATTTTTTTTCTCCTCTTGATTTCGAAGAAGGATTAAGTGCATGTTCAAGACGTAGGCTACTGACAATGTTCTAAAATACGCTAGGTGCTAGTTGGGCGGCGGGTTGGGGCCTAGCGCCTAGGCGGCTAGAAGGGCGCCTAGGCAAACTAGACGGATTTAAGTAAATCTATTGTATTTCGTATAAATAAGTGTCAACTTATACTTGAATATATATAACTTCATCATAAACTATAAAATATAATGAAAACATGGGGAACAAGCATATAATATGTGTTCATTTAAGTATTCAACAAGTCTTATAATTTATTAAGAAAAATAAAATGCAAAATTAAAGTGATCTATTTTCTATCAGAGTGAGTCACGACCTAGGAAGGTGCCTAGGCGAGTCTGGACGGGCTAGGCAGGTGCCTAGGAGGTTTAGGCGGTGGTGGCCAGCCGCCTAGCGCCTATGCGGGGATTTTTAGAACAGTGGCTGCTGATACACATGCTCTCTTCTGTTTCCTAGGTCATGTTTGATAAGAAAGATCCAAATATATAAAGAAGGGTTTTCTTGTTTTGTTAATGCTATACTAGCATATGGGAACACACAAAGTGTGTGAGAAATTTTTTTATTATTGTTTTTGAAATAGGAGAGAGGAAGAGAGTGATAGAGAATGTGGGAGTGGGAAGTTTTTTTTTATTTTTTATTTTTAATTAGAGATATGTTAGGATTACATGTAGCTGAGGTTTTGAAAAAAAAAAGCAAAATTTGGTTGTGTGAAATTACATTTCTGCCCCATATTTCTTATTCATATTCTGTTTTAATAAGAGGGCTAAACTGGTAATTTCATAGGATTTTGGTTGACAATGAGTGTTTTATTAATTAGTAGAGATAATTGTTCAGATAGTGCCACCAGTTTCTGCATGTCATAATGCTTTTATGTCTTGTTACAAAGATGGATTTTAAAATATTTCCCCTACTTTTCCTCTTAATTTGCCGTGTTCTCATTGGATGCTCTATCTAGGGTTTTTATGCATCCATTACTTATATGTGGCCTCTTATGGTATCTGTTTTAAATCTCTATAGGGACAAGATTGCTTTATCTGCAAAAAGGGTGGACATCATGCTAAAGACTGTACAGAAAAGCAGAATGGTGGCTCATTGAAGTCCCAAATATGTCTAAAATGTGGAGATTCTGGACATGATATGTTATCGTGCAGGAATAATTATTCAAATGATGATCTTAAGGTATTTTGAGATTTTTAAGCATATGTTCATATCAGAAATGTTCATATGATTTCTGATATGATATTAATAATTAGTTATATTGTTAAGCATTATGTTCAACAATGGTTTCTATGTTTCTTTTAATGAATCAGGAAATCCAATGCTATGTCTGCAAGAGATTTGGTCATTTATGTTGTGTCAAATATGTTGATACTAGTCCGTGGGAAGTTTCCTGTTACAAATGTGGTTCAATGGGACATACTGGTATGGTAAGTTTTGTTACATTTTTCCAATGTTCTTTTTAATTTTTCTTTAGTGTTTTATCTTTGTGGTTGGTTGGTGAGGTGCATTAAAGGCTGCATATACGTGAACAAGGCGCATTGTCTTGGAAGCTGCATACATATGCAAGCAAGGTCTATTGTTTTGCAATGGGGATAGGGATATATTGTCCACGCACAAACATAGTGCTAAAGTGGTCTTTTGACTTGTTGGAATTTGCTTTGATAAGTTGTATTATCTATATCTGTGATGATTTATAAGTACAATTTCCTCTTATGCATGGGTGCCTAAGAATTTTAAGGACCTCTTAGCTTTGTGGACAAGTCAGATGCATTTCAGTCATCCATGCTTATCTAATGAATGAGAAACACATGTGCATTCAAGGACCTTTTTTCGGAGAAAAGTTTTAGATGAATACCCTTGATTCGCGCTGTGAAGTGGTTTCATTGGTTTGCTTAAATATGACAAACATCATGTGATAAATTTTATTTGTATAGGCAGTGATGTGATTTCAACAGTATGGTTTAGAAGAATTTGTTGTTTTAAAAGCCTTATGTTTATTGATGAATTCTAGAAGAAACTAATTATTGCACTCCTGGTCTTTGAAAATTCTTTATCTTCCTTTTTTTTCTTTTTTATCCATTGTATTTCTTTGATTCGTCTTTCCCTTGTTAAAACTATATATGCAATGTGTTTGTACCATACTTCACTAATCCCGAAACTACCAAGCACCAATCAACTTCATACCTTTAGGGACCCACTTATGTATCAAATATACTCCTTAGATTCATACAAATATCTCAGTCTGAAGTTTAGTTTATTTCTCGCTTGAAATATTATTGGATCTAAATTTTCACTTACGATATGAATTTTATCTACAATAGGAATTAGAATTTTTCTCATGGTTATTTTATTTCGTACTACTTGCTTTAAGAATAGATTAATTTAGATCATGTTTTAGTTTTTGGCTGGGAGTATTTTTTTTTTTTTTTCATTTGACAATTCTTTACATGCTCCATTCTTGTTGCACATGTTTATCAAGTATATCTTGTGATTTCTGAGGAGATTGGATGTTATGCAATCGTATTTTTCTTTTTACAGCATCTTTTGGCCGTCTAAAATCTAATCAAATTTGGTTCTTAAAAATTATAGTTTCCTGCCTGTGTCCAAAAGAGGCTTCACACTGGTTTTTTTTTTTTTTGTTTGTACTTCCATTTCACCGAAATGCACGTCCTCTTTTTTTTTTTTCACTTCCATTTCCCCGAAATACCCTTCCTTTTCTTACTTTTGTCTAAGAAAGGGGATTCTGTACATGCAGGCATGCGTAAGCTTACGTGGTGGGGAAACCACTGGTTTTGGTTCGCCTCGGTTATGCTACAAGTGTGGTGAAGGTGGTCATATTGCTCGTGAATGTGCAAGTTTGGTCAATGTAACTCTCAGTGTACACCTCCCAGAATTATTTTTAGCGCAATTTTCTTCTCTGTCGATTGGCAGTGGTAGTTTACTCATGAAAATACTAACTGATGTGTTTTGTGAAACTTGTAGGTTCACAAAAGATTTGGGGAATCATCTAATTATTCTACTCCAGTTTTGAAACGCCATAAGGAAAAGAGAGACTACACGGGATTCAAGTCTGCTCCTCATGACCTAAATAAGGTCCATAAAAGGAAACATACCCAATTTGAAGAAAGAGTTTTTACAACACCACAAAAGGCAAAACATAGATGTGGCTGGATAATGGATGATCCAGGGGACTTTTCCCCCAGAAAAGGCAAAAAGAACAATAGGAAGTCTCCGGCAACACCATCTAATTGGGGTCATAGGGTTCCTAGTTTAACTGCAGGTGGTCATGCTTCAAGTTCTAGATCATCTAAAAAGATTTGGGAGGATTCCAAAAGCCCTATCTCAAAAGGGTCGTCGAAGTCTTTTCAGCACGGATATTCTGCATCGAGGTTTAACAACTCTAATGGTGGTGGATATAGAAGAAATTATGATTGGTTAGGTGATGAATATAATGGGCATTACTAAACCCAATGGAAGGAAGCGGCTGCAAAGGGTTATTCGTCAGTCCATAAGCCCTTTCTTCTTGTTAGTATTTTCTTTTTTCTTTTGCAGCGATAATGATTTAGTCGTCATTTCCCTAGATGTTGAGAAGTATTTTATGCTACCCCGTTACCAGTTTATTCGTGAAAATTGTAAGACTAAGTTTATGGTTGGGGAGAGCGTGTGGTAAAGGGTGTGAGAATGTGATGTTTTAACATGGATATGGCGGTCTGAGGGCAAATTTCAAAATATAGAGAGAAGGATGTGCTATAGCAATGTGCGATGCAATGTTTATATGCCATATTAATGCAAATTTATTGACTGGATGCTTGCACAGAACCACAATGGTAGATGAAAGGTAAAACAGGGGAGGCTAGGGCTCTGTATCGTTTCTCTTTTTCTGAATAAGAGAGGAATCTGAATTTGTTTGGAGAGCGAGGCTCATGTTGAACAAGCATAGCAGCTAATTTCCGCCATGCTTGTTCAACCTAAATCGATTTGGTGGACTAGTGGCCTAACAGAAGATAATCAAACACTCTCCGATTCCTTGATTTTCTCTTGTTGCCTTGTGTACTTCACGATTGCTTCGTTATTGCGGTTTAGTGGGGAAACCCAGCCGGGGCTAAAGGAATGCAAGGATGCGGCAAAGCGGTTAGTGGGGGTGGTGTTCAAACCAGTTGAAGATGCTGTGCAGGACAGTGGACAGCCTCAAAGCAAAAGACTTATTGAAATGTTTGAAACAAGATACATGTCAAAGTTAAGCAGATGAAATGGTTGCAACTTTTAGCAACTCTACGAGAACACCAATTGAGGTTAGGGTGGTGCTATCCGTGCATTCATATTTACCTCACACCCCCTCTTAATTTTTGGCCATCGTAAAAAAGATCAATGGATAAAAGTTAATAAGGGTGTGTGAGATGTAAAATAGGGTGTGTGAATAGCACTACCCTTGAGATTGTAGCATGGGGAAAAGATCGTACAAATCTTGTTGTGCCAACAAAAAAGGGATGTTGTAGAAACAGCCCTATATCTGCTTCTCCAATCATGTTTCACAGAAAAGTTACAAAATGATAGCCAAAGTTCCTTCAGTTGTAACCAAGTGTGTGAGATTTTACTAAATCACAAAGTAAAAATTAATTAGCAACGGTTCTGTAGATTTTAATTCCCTTTAGTTAATCTTGTTTATTGTTAACATCCAGTGTTGTGCAAACCTATAAGATAGTGCTATCCGAATATATGAACAATAAAGTAAACATGCTACCTACAATCACAAAGAATTTAGTGAGGTTTGGCGAACTTTGCCTACTCCTCGTGTCATCTCTGTTGAGAAATCACCTGCACTATGGAGAATACCAACTCGGTTACAAGAACTTATTGAAAACCCTTGTGCAAAACGCCAAGCCTTTCTTTAGATGTCTCTATCACTCTTGGCTCTTTACCCATGTATTGTCTCTGTTGTTCATGAGAATAAACAGCTCCCAAAAGCCTATTTATAGTACATAAACTGATGTTTACATGGCTTATTTCCTAATTTAAATAACATTTGCAAATTCTTATGGGAAATAACATGTGCACATTCCTTTTCTCCTTTCCCAACACCAATTGGAAACTAAACTTGTTTGGTCGTGGTACTTTGACGAGCCAAATCACAACAATCTCCACCTTGGTGAGTCAAAACCAAAGAAATGACTATTGTGCCCTAGAATATCTCCAAGGAAACTATGTAGTTACTCAATAAAGAGTGAGTCCACTGACCATGATCAACCAAGAGTTCTCATACTGATGTCATATGTAAACTCACTAGTTGGTATAATGCAATGTAGTCCTTTGACCTAGGATACCACAATTATCATATGAGAACTCACAATAATTTTTCTTCACCCCGTTCCATAATAGCACTTTCGCTGGACAACCGTTTCAATACTGGGGATATAGAAGAAATTATGATTGGATATAGAAGAAATTATGATTGGAAAGAAATTATGTTCTTTCAACTACGCGCTTTACATGACTCTTTGCATCTTTCTCATCATCGGCTTCTTTTTCTTGGCAGAGCATGAACCTTGAGATGTTGAAGTAATAGCCCATGAAGAAAGTTACTTTCCTCACTCCACTTTTACGTTTAGTTGTAATTTCCTTTTAGACAGCTAGTTTATTGCTTTTCGAACAATGGCCATGAGGCCGCTTTGCTTTGCGTTTTGCTTAATGCCCTTGGCTTTGGCTGCTGACATTAAATTTAGAAAAATGTTATAGCTTCTGTAGGGAAACAGAGCATGTTAGGAAAGCTTGACTTGCTTAGCATTGATTGGCTTGCTAGTTTTAAAAGCTTTTCCTTGCTTGGCTTGATTTTTCATTGATAGGCTTTGGCATGTTGCATGAGTATAGCTTTGAAAAAGCTTTGTTTACTTGACTCAATGGTTTTGCATGGCGTGTTAGCTTGGCATGTTGCTTGAGCATTGAACCATTGAGCAGCTTGCATGGCATTGATAAGCTTGGCATGTTACATGAGTATAGCTTTGAAAAAGCTTTATTTCCTTGACTCAATGGTTTTGCATGGTGTGTTGGCTTGGCACGTTACGTGAGCATTGAACAATTGAACAGCTTGCATGGCATTGATAGGCTTGGCATGTTGCATAAATGTAGCTTTGAAAAAGCTTTATTTGCTCGACTTAATGGTTTTGCATGGCGTGTTGGCTTGGCATGTTGCATGAGCATTGAATCATTAAGCAGCTTGCACGGCATTGATAGGCTTAGCATGTTGCATAAGTATAGCTTTGAAAAAGCTTTATTTGCTTGACTTAATGGTTTGCATGGCGTGTTGGCTTGGCATGATGCATGTGCATTGAACCATTGAGCAACTAGCATGGCATTAATAGGCTTAGCATGTTGCATAAGTATAGCTTTAGCATGATTTACCCCTTAAGGCAGCTTGCTTGGCATGGGCTTTCCTTATAGCCTTGGCATGATTACTACTATAACTTGTTTAGAATTAATCCTTCTAGTTACTCTTGCCAATGTAAAGAAACAAAAGTACCAAAGATTTTGACAAAATGCTCCTTCATTTCATTAAAATTTGGGGTGCATCAATCGTTGCATGGCTTTACAAGGTCTCATAGAGTAAGCAAAATGATCATTGCATAGAAATAGATTGTTCTTCTAAAATAAGCATGAGCATTTTAGCAATAATATGGCTTTAGCCACTTTGCATTGACAGGTTCTGTTCGCATACCTTCCTTAATTGAAGTCAAGTAGTAGTAACCGCTTTGGTAGGCTTCCTTGATCACAAAAGGTTATTCCCAGTGTGGGGTGAACTTCGAAGATCCGGAGATCTGCCTCCTTATGTGATCGGTTATCCTGAGGATGAGATATCCTTCCTTGAAATGGTGTGGCTTGATTGTTCAGTTGTAGGCTTTGGTAATTTGTTGATGGTATAGGGTTGTTTTCCTAGATGCTTTTGCCCTTTTTTCCTTGAGTAACTCTAGGTTTTTCCACCTCCAATATGCGCATGTTGTAGCATCCTATTCCACATCGTTGAATGCTGAAACTCTTGTTGTGGGCATCATCATTTCCACAAGGGAAATAGCTTCGGACCCATACACCAAGGAGTAGGTAAAAAAACTCGTAGCTTTTCTTGGAGATGTGTGATAAACCCATAAAACATCTGGAAGATGAGTGCTCCAGCCCCCAGCGTAATTATGTACCATCTTGCTTAGGATTCTTAGTAGTGTCTTGTTTGTGACTTCGGCTTGACCGTTTCCCTAGGGATAGTACAACATAGAAAGATGATGCTTGATCCTGTAACTATCAAGTGTGGCACTTACCTGTTTGCTCACAAAATAGTGTCATTGTCACTCACTATTTTGTAAGGTATCCCAAATCGGCAAACGATGCATTCCTTGATGAAATTAGATACTGCTACTCTCATTGCTTTCCTGAGAGGGATTGATGCTACCCATTTTGTGAAGTACTCATTGGCTACTAGGATTCATATGTAGTCTTCGAAAGCTGGATTGATTGTTTATATTAAATCAAGCCCTTAAGTATGGAATGGTCATGAAGTACGCATATCTTGCAGTAGCGTTGAAGGCTTGTGGATTAAGTTTCCATGAACTTGGCATGTTTAGCATCACTTGACCATATTGAGTGTGTCTTCCCTCATGGTTAGCCAATAGTATCCTAGGCTCAATAGCTGCTTATGCAGTTTCTTCCTTCATTGGTGCTCTCCGCATTCTTTAGCATTTACCTCTTGCATGACTTATAAAGACTCAGATGGCCCAAGGCATCTTAATGGTTCCCTATTGAATCTCTTCCAGTATAGAGTTGCCCCATACACGAAGTACCTCTTGGTTGTCCCTTTTAATTTGCATACATCCCTGGCATTGCTTGGCAGTGTCCCACCGATAAAGAAGGTCAGGTATGGAGACCTCTAGTCATCAATGATGGAAACTATAAATGCCTCTCATGAGGAAATCATTCTGCTGTATTTTGAACATTCGGCTTGGATGTATGTGGCTTGTTGTTTCGTCTCGGGCCATTAATACCCTTTTCTTTACAATCAGCAATAAAGAGTCACAACTTGATCGATTCCGCATGTGGTCTCATGGATCTCATGCAACCGTATTTGTGCTTCTTTTGGTCCAAGACATCAGGTTAGCACTCTTCCCAAAAGACACTTATAGAGTGTCCCAATGACATTGATGTACTTCTTAAGGCATTTGATGCTGAGTTCTCTGATTGGCTTAAAAAGTTCCCTTTTGACGATTTTCCTTCAGTCGTCATCTTCCGACGCTTCCTCCGGGAAGGTTGCGTCAATGGTTAGGGCCTCCTTTCTAATCACAGCAATGTTGGGTTATTCTTCGGCGAAGGTAAGCTTGGAGCCAAGTATGGCTAGGGCATACGCATATTTATTGGTTGTACTAGGAATATGTTCCAACACTACCTGCTTGAACTTTGCCATGAGTTTTTCAACCATAGTGCGATATAGT